CCATCAGTGGAAGAAGCGGCACGCTGCGCACTGACAATCGAAGCGGCTGATTGTGAATTGTTGATCGAGGGCAGGAGAGCGCGACTGGCTTTCTTCATCAGGAAAATCAAAATGCGCTTTTTTGACTTTTTTGCTCTGATGAAAAGTGATGCAGTATGGACAAGTGCATCAGCCGAAAAGGAGGTCCCAGGTCTTGTGCGATCCTTAGCCGTTTATTTCATCTATAATGAGTCTTGTAAGTCATCTTGTGCGCTTCAACGTGCTTTCTGTGTCTTGTACTTGGGACAACTCGGCTGTTGGCCAGCAGGAAAAGGCAGGACAAGCCACCCGGCCTACTTCCAAGCTGCACAGGAATTCTCAAGCTGATTGGATAATTTGAGGCACAACCCGAGATAAACTCTTAAGGCAAACTCGTAGTAATAAGAACCAATCGCAATTCTGAATAATGCATATAACAAGAGAAGTAAGACGTCGTACAAATGAACTAGCAAGGAAACACAAGAAAAGTGAGACATCGTACAAGCAAATTAGCAGGGAAGCCAAAGCGTCCAATTCCATGCAGAAGTCGCAAAAGACCAATGAGCAAGTAGGTCAATCATCACGAAATCCGGTACTACAGTCGGATATGTTACACACTCGGATCAACTAACGAGGCGAGGGCGTACCTAAGGCGCATTCCTAAGCCCTCTATTCGCCATCGGTATCAGAACCGAGCTCAACAAGCTTCGACGGGTCCTCATCGGAATCCAGCTCGGAAGCGTCAACATTGATAACCTCTCTTCGAGTGATAGACTTGCCGGCACGCGCTATCTTCATCGCACGCTCGATGATGCAGCCCATTTTCTTCGGCTTCGTAGATGCAAGCTTCTGCGCTGCCTTTGCGTAACCTATCGTGTCGACCCGATACTTCACTTCGCTAAAGGCAGTCTCACTGTTTGTAGCATCACCAGTAGCGACGTTCAAGCCTTTCAGCATAATTGCCTTGCCGTTCTCCAACGTCATGTCATTGTTGACCCAAAGAAACAGTGCACGATAGGTCTGAAGTGTCAGAAATGTTTCAGGAAGACGTTTTAATTGTTAGGTATGATGTATCACATACCGCGGCAGATGCCATAGCAATCGCACCAATGGGGCATTCCTTGTCTTCTTCCATACCGGCGAGGCCAGGAACACTTACAGCACCCTTGGTCAGGGTGAAGTGACTTGCAACTAGTCGCAGTATGAACATGGATTGATAGAGACCCCTCCATTCCTGGAGAGAGAAGACTTAGACAATCACCGCGTTCAGATGAATGAGGTCATAATCACCTTCTTGTTGTCTCCGACCGCATGCTCGTAAGTGAACCGTAGCTTCGACAACATGTACTCCGTGAATTCACAACGATCTTCGACATTATCATATGAATTCTCCTTGTCTCCAATAAAGAAATTCTCGAGAATACGCAGAGCGGTAGAGCCGAAACTGCTGCGCCATTCACTAAGACGCTGTGTAGCCTGCATCATTGTTCCAGTGGGTGAAGCCAAGTTCAGAAATGCAGAACGAAATAATGAGCTCGACACTCACGAGTTTGAAGACATGGTCATTGCAGGCAACTTGATGGGGGACTTTATTACCGTATATTGCGTTCCAAATCAACTGCAGAGCCTCGATGAACTCATCATCTTTAATAATCCATGGATTCACCAGCGTCCCAGCATAACGACGAAGAGTCAGAACAAAGACATGCTGCCAGCGTCCATTGTCATTGGCACCTGCCGGCAAATCGGATGTCTTGCTCTTTCCAGTGGGACGGCGTGATTGGCTCGCTTTTGTAGTGCTAAAAAGTTCACGCCTGATGATGTTCGATGGCTCACGCTTGACAACAATCAAGTTGGCATGGGCCGCACGGCGCATGTCATCCACCTTCACATAAGTCTAAGGATCCAAGGTTGTCAGATATTTCCATAGATAAGCCCGACGAGCCATACATACATTGGCGGTGGTGCGATCGCGGATCGGATGAGGCGTATCCTCAACGTCTATGACGCCGTGGTTGATGACGGACTTGAAGGACAAATTCAAGTCAGAGGAATGCATGAAAAGCATCTGCAACTGCTTTCGTGACTTGACAGACCTTGTATAGAGACGGCTTGGCAAACGGAGTCACATCTATATTATCGATATCATTTATTTTGACCATATTCTAGCAGTAGCCCCATCAGTAACATTCATATAATGTCGTGCAACGTCTCGACATCATGATTAATATGCTCGTACCTGATGTGTGGCCCGCATTACTGGAGCCTTCACAGGACTCGACATCGCAGCAATGCGTTCGACGTCTTCGTCTGATTCACTTGCGAACCCCTTGTCTTGTATGGGACCCCTGCCCAAGTAGCGGCTGCTGTGTGGCGTGACTTTCGAGGTCTGGTGTGCCGATGGGTGTCCGAAGGTTGCCACGTGTACATGATCGTGCTTCGGACTGTCAACCCTAATGCGTTGCCTTTGCCCAGCAGGCACTGTGTTAGACGATGAATATTAAAGAAATAAGCCTGGTTCAACGTATGGATTCCATGTCAGAAGCTCTCCGGAAAACGTTTTGAGTGTCCCGTGATGGGCAGTCACCGTGCGACCACTAGTAAACCCGATGATCAGCAGATATATTGAAGAGTAACTCAGTGATACGTACCTTCCGTGGGCCACTGTCGAGCTCTTCAGACGCGCACCTGGATCTACAACCAATTTTTCTTTCGATCGGATGTCACCTGGCTCCGTCGCCTTTCGATTTACAAGCTCAAGGCGAGCCTGCTCAATCGTCACTCTAGTGCTAGAATCTTTCTTCGCTTTCTTCTTCGGCAGCTCATCTTCAGAAGGCAATTCGGTGAGGTCGGACTCGTATGGCTCGTCATGTCCTCCTTTGCCGGTCTTCTTCGAAGCACTCTGCTTTGCCTTCTTCTTCACTGTGGGCCTGATTAGCAATGCCGCAGCAGCATACAGACAGAATGGACTGCAGAACCTGTTCCGATATGCTTGACGGCATGATTTGCCTTTGCCAGTTCATCTTCATCCTGCATCTGCACCTCCTCTTCTGCGATAGCCTCCAGAGCTCGCTTCCTCTTGCTGGCTTGCCTCTCCTTCTGGAGTTCTTCACGTTTCTTGTCCTCCTTGACCTGTGCTGAGGTCCGTCGAGGAGTAGGCGCAACAATATGACCAGGATGCTTCAGAGCATTCGATGCACGTGTGCGACGTTGCGAAGGTGTGGACGGCATCGATGGAGACTGCAGGAAGAGAGCAGGGATGATGAGAGGAATGCGACTGTCATGAAAGTTCAAGGCAAAGTTGAACATGCGTTGCGAGCAGATTGCGTGCTCGGCAATAATGCTTGAACGGGAAGCAACCCCGTCTGAATTATTTGGGGTATGGTCAGCAACCTACTGCGTATCACATGCAAACCATACCTTCACAGTTGAGCAACAAGATCCATCTGGATGTTCAGCTCTTCAGTGCCACCAGACGAACTCCTCGAACTGTGACTCATGTTTGCTGCATATCCGTATCCTTGTGGCCTGCCAGGGTGCCTGCGACGTTTCAAAAACAGGTCTGGACTCACCAAGCACACCCGCGCTGCACATCCACAGCAATTGGGAGGGACCTATGCTCATGATAGACGACCATTCAGTCAGGTTCCACCAGCATGGGAGAATGAGAATCGTACGTCACATAGCGGCGCATTTAGGCATTCAGTGCCGGTGATTGAGTGAGATACAGCACGCAGGACACTGGAAGAGGATACCTCCAACACTTCGTCATATCGTGTTGATGAAGGGTCTACTATTGGCTCGTCAGAGAGCGCTCTTGCAGGTACTATGGGTAGCAGCCCACCTTCAGAATATCAGTGTAAACCTGACGATGATGAAAATCGTGATGAATACATAGATTGGGAGCCACAGTAAGCAAATCCCAACTCGACGTCCACCGGGCTTGACACTGCAGTACATGATGGACATCTAGACCCTACGAAGATGACAGCGAGTGCCGGAGCATGCATTCCGATGACGAGACCGGGAGGCCTTCTGAAGACTATGCTGATACAGAAATGCGATATGGTAAGCTATAGGCTTGACGCGCAGTGGAGCGTACGAGCATGCACTCACTGACTCCATTCGACATTGACGCTGCAGACTCAGAGGCGCTCGCATGCGCTGAGAGGAGTGACCGAGATTCTGTGACAGGAGACGCTCACCGAGATCGGCATCGAACGACTGTTTCTGAGGAGATTGAAGAGTCCGTCCACTCTGAAGATGACTGGCAAGAGAGCTGCCCTAGTGATCGCTTTTCGGTCTACTCAGATGGTTCAGAGGAAATGCTTCCTAATCAGTGTGACGATGACGAAGCTCAAAGTAGTGTGGTTTCGGATGATGAAGAAGTAATACGGGACTACCACCCCTACCTAAGTGGTGAGGAACACATAGATGCAAATTTTCTGATAGCTTACTGAGTTGCTACGAAAGGAAACCCGTGCGACAAAAATGGAGAGTTTCTGCCTCAAAATGCTGTGCCACCTCCTCGCGCACCCAGGGCCATAGACGACTGGTCTCCATATAGCAGTCGCGTCGAGTTTGAGGTTGCAGAACTCCTGTATAAGCGTGAGCAAATGTCAGCGGGCAACATCAACACACTACTCAATCTATGGGGTGCAAGCCTGGTCAAGCACGGTGACTATGCACCCTTCACCAACACGGAGGACCTGTATCACACAATCGACTCCACGTCACTTGGCGACGTCAAATGGGAGAGTTTCAGCATGTCGTATCAAGGGGAACTGCCTAATGGTGATGTACCCACCTGGATGACGACGGAATCAGATGTCTGGTTCCGGAACCCGCTTGCGGTTGCTGACCATATCCTCGGCAATGTTGACTTTGACGGTCAAATGGACTATGCACCATTCCGCAAATTCCATCATGGTGAGCGGCGATTGAAGGACTTCATGTCTGGTGAGTGGGCATGGAAACAAGTGGTACGTTCTTGCCTCCATCTGACGTGTGGTAACTATCTTTATCACGCTGTTAATAGGATATGATTGCAGAAAATGAGCGAACTCATGGCGCAGCGTTCGTACCCATCATTCTAGGAAGTGATAAAACAACAGTCTCTGTGGCCACAGGACAAAATGAGTATTATCCGCTCTATATGGGTATAGGGAATACTCACAACAGCGTGCGACGTGCTCATCGAGACGCAGTAGTGCTTATCGGATTTCTGGCGATTCCCAAAAGTCAGTGAGCGCTTTCGCTGCTTCGTCTTTCTCGTCATAGTAAAAATCACTTTAAAGCTGACAAGGAACATGCGGATGACCCGTTATTTCGCAAATACCGACGACAACTCTTTCACTCATCTCTGTCCAGAATTCTGCGCAATCTCAAGCCCTACATGACCACACCGCGAGTCGTTCGATGTGCTGATGGCCACTTTCGGAGGGTGATCTACGGACTGGGGCCATATATTGCTGACTATCCCGAACAAGCGCTTCTCGCATGCATTGTGCAGGGATGGTGCCCAAAGTGAGTTCACATTCTTGTAGTCTTTCTAGGCTAGGTAGCTGAGTAGAGTTGTGGAGATGTACAACGCGAAACAATGATCTTGATGGCACCAATGGTGGACGTCGTTCTCGCAAGCACACCGAAACTCTGGTCCGAGGGTTGGAGCTAGGAGAGCTGTGGAACGAATATGGTCTTGTTGGCGATATAGTGGTACGTCTTCTCATCTTCCTTTTGTTGCTTTGTCCTGTCCTTTGCTCGAGCATTGTGATGATCATATGTATGCCATGGGTACTCCGGGCAAGATACGACAGATGTATGTCAGATGATATTGAAATCAAGCTGTATAGAGTGTTTCTCGTCGCGGCTGTGCCTCATGCTGCAGTGGCTTGGCCTGCGCTGAATCGCGCACATCAAAAGCTATTGCCGACATTGTTCCACAGCGGCTTTTCATGCTTACCTGATTCGTTGCTGACTTTTGACGATAGCCTTTCACAAACGACTTCCCCCGTGCTGATATTCATGAGTTGCTCTCACCGGATCTGCTACACCAATTGATCAAGGGCACATTCAAGGACCATCTAGTGGACTGGGTTGAACAATACCTTGAGATCACTCACGGGAAGTCTCGCGGGCAAGCTATCATGGCTGAGATCGACCGACGGTGAGTTCTCTCACACTTTGTGATAGGCTGTCTCTTTAAATACCTGCATAGTATTGCTGCTGCACCACCATTTTCGGGTCTGCGACGATTTCCAGAAGGACGTGGGTTTAAACAGTGGACTGGGGATGACTCCAAGGCACTCATGAAGGTCTGTTCCACTCTGCCAAGCATCATGCCATGACGAATGCACTGAACGGCTGCTATCAGATCTGGCTTCCTGCGATCGCAGATCATGTACCTCGTGATATGGTCCGTGCAATTCGCGCATTCCTGGAGTTCTGTTACATTGCCCGTCGTGATATGCACAGTTCCACGACCGTGAAAGCATTGGAAGAAGCGCTTGAACGATTTCATCACTACCGAGTCATCTTCCAGACCACAGGTGTCCGCCCAACCGGCTTCTCCCTTCCACGACAGCATTCTCTCATACACTATACTCTTCTCGTATGGATGTATGGTGCGCCGAATGGACTGTGCTCATCAATTACTGAGTCAATGCACATCAGGGCTGTCAAAGAGCCATGGCGAAGATCAAGCCGATTTGAGGCTCTCGGCCAAATGTTGTTGACGAATCAACGATTGGACAAACTCTCTGCCTCGCGTGTTGACTTTGAAAGCCGGGGCATGCTCAAAGGTTCTTGTTTGTCTGCTGAGGTTCAAGCAATATGTGAGTTCTCTGACAGCGACACAAATACTGGAGCAATACTGAATTCTGATAACCATGCATGTTTCTAGTCCCAGATAAGATGATGCAGGACCAGCCAGTGACAAAACCCCCTACTGTCAAAGGCAATGACGGCAATGGAGCCATATCAGGATCTAGAACTCAGGGCCGCACTCAATTGGCGGTCACTGTGCGTGCGTAGAGCTATAAATTTACATGTATAGGTCAGTATGAACACTAAAGGGTACCTGAACAGAACGACAACATTCGCGTACATTCGAGGGTCTAGCCCGTGAAATAGGTCAGCCACAATTGCCAGAACTGGCTCGAAGATTCCTGTACAGCCAGCTGCATCCTGACGTTGTCATATCACAAGTCCCAGTACCGCTTGATCGCTGTCCACAAACCCGAGATGCCGTTTACGTCCACTACTCCGCCAAGGCTACATTTTACGCCCCTAGTGACCCATCGGGTCTTGGTGGGATGCGCCGCGAGCATATCCGAGCAACGCCGCAGTGGCGCGGGCTGACACCGCGATTTGATTGCGCATTCGTTCGCTCTAGCCCATTTGGAGGCGGGATAGGCGGGAGCGATATCAGCGTTGTGCGAATATTGCTCCTCACCTCATTCAGATACGGCGGGATCCATTATCCTTGTGCGCTCGTGCGATGGTTTCGACGTTGCGGTGAGGCGCTGGACGAGAACACCGGTATGTGGATTGTACAGCCAAATCATACATCTGCACGCAAACCTCTGCTATCATTCATTCATGTCAGTTTGATTATCCGCGCTGCTCATTTAATACCAGTGTTTGGGACTGCTCGTGTGCCAAACAATTTTACTGAACACCACTCGTTAGACTACTACCGATTTTTTTATGTAAATAAGTTTGCTGACCATCACGCGTTCGAACTCTTGCATTAGAAGGTAGCGGCCATTCTGCTTGCGAAATGACATATTCTTGTGGCCGTTTACAAATGAATTATGGACTGAATTGCCTTTCAAACTTTTCTGTACTTTGGCGCACAGTGGTAGGTGACTTGCTGACTGCTCGCAAGAACCAACAATCGTGTACAAGGAGGTCTCTCTGCTTGGAGGGGCTTTCTAAGGGTTGTATGTCCTTGGATGAATGACTTGTCCACTTACCGGCTTGTACAAGCCAATATAAGACTGTCCAAGCGATCACAAGACATATTTGAGTTTTCCTGATGTTAGAGAGGACCCTGTTGCTTGATTGCTGATCGATTTACAGGCTGCACATTTTGCAAGCAGCGAGAACGTGTCTGCGCACCGGGAAATGTGAGTA